TGGAAGGGGGACAGGATGAGGCATCTACCACGGCATTTTGCTGCGTTCCACCCCTAGCCTCTCCCTTCCAACCTCCATGCCTCAGAGGGCCGCGGTCCCCAGGACCAGAGGATAACATCTGGAGGCATCCAGCCCTCTGATGATTTTTTTTTTTTCCCCTGGCCTCGAGGTTTAAATTTTTTTTAAACTTGGAATACACATGTGACTTTTATCAGAGATACACAAATTAAATCAGCAACCTTGGGCAGGAGCGCATTAAAGTTTAATACTGGAAAACATCTTAACCTTGTTAAATTAAAAAAATCCGGAACCCATATAATCCAATCCAATTAAAGCCTTCCTTCAAAGAAGGCTTTGTTAAATGTACTCGGAGTATACTACCGTGATTGCAAGGTTTAAATAACTTTGAAAAATTCAAATTTCAGTCATCTGTACTAACAGAAGGAAGTGTGATAGAGATAATCCAAATTATAATATCTAATGTCTCAAAGGCATTTCATGTGTATTTATAGCCGTTATCTCACACGACATCAAATTAGTTTGGCAAGGATTTTCCATATGCTTTTGAGACTATGTTCTCTCTACTACCAACGGAATGATTTCTTCAGGGTTCTAGAATATGTTTTCTCCTCCATAATGTTTCTTTCCAAATTTAATTTATGTAGGTTAACATCATATCGCATTCTCTCGACAATGATGAAGAGAATGAGTCCGAAACGCTCTGGGTATAAGAAGTAGGATGGGACTTATAAGCATCTTCTGAAGATAATATTAAATTAACCTCAGACTAATTAAACTGATTCGGGGAGGGAGCCAATGAGCAGAGTTCACACATGAACTATTCGTGGAGGGTATGCCACTGCTCAGAAGGGGGTTCAGAACAGTGTGCCGAATATTCAAAGAGCAGGACTTGCTAATAAGACCAACAAATAGATTGGTGTATACCATAAACTGATCTTACAGAGCCCTTGCAACCAGCTTTAATTTCCTGAAAGATGTTTAATTGCCGTGCAAAGCAGCTCTCTGCTGATGCTAGGATTTGAATTTCCATCCGTAGCAAAAGAATTTTGATTTTCTCTTGAATTTTGGAGCTTGGGTGTCGATATGCCTAAAACACAAAGGACTACTTCACCAATGTGGCCCACTAATTAGATATTCTTATTAAAGGGGCACCTGGGTGGCTCAGTTGGTGAAGCGCCCAACTTTGCCACAGGTCACGATCATGGTTCATGGGTTCGAGCCCGGCGTTGGGCTCTTGTGCTGATGGCTCAGAGCCTGCAGCCTGCTTGGGATTCTGTGTTTTCCTCTCTCTCCGCCCCTCCCCTTCTCCTGCTCTGTCTCTCAGAACTAAATCAACATTAACAAAAAAGATATCCCTTTAAAGCTATTTTACTAGATACGGTTAAAAAAAAAAAAAAAAAAAGCTGCCAACGCTAAAAAAAAAGTAGTTTACTTACAGATGTGGATTCCTAGCTTCTCTCTGACAAGCGGACCCTGTGGAGCCTTGCAGACCCGGCCTGAGTCCCCCGTCTGCCCTACCAGTGCCCTCACTGTTCCTCCCCGGGCAGGAGGCGGGCTCTGTTCTTTACTGAATGTCTCCCATCCTCCTTCGGAGGGGCCTGACCACCCCCTGCTGGCCTGGGGAGCCACCCTGCCCAGCCCCGCCTGGCTCACCTTGGCCAGGTCGGCGAGAGTGTTGGTCTGGTCATTCAGCTTCCCCTGCTCAATCTTCACACTCCGGAGCCTGGGAGACAGACAGGGGGGTGGGTAGACAGGGTTGGTGGAGGCTGCAGGGGAGTGGGGCCCTTCATGCACCCACCCCAGCCGGGGTCGCCTTGTGGGACATGCAGAAGGTGGGAGATGAGGGCGGAGGTAGGGTCGGGCCCCATGCTGTGCATTCCCTCCTAGCACACATGGGGTAGCAGGGCCTGGCGGGTGGCTAAGCCACCCCCGACAGCGTCCACCTTCTGGCCACGTCCATGCGGCCTGATTCAGGATGTCCCGGGAACTTGGACTCCCAGGCCTAGGTGAAGACTGCACACGCTGGACACGTGCCCTGGCCACCTCCTGGGGCCAGCGGGCAGTGATCCGCCCTCGGCCCTGGGTGTGTCCCCTGCCCCGCGAGCACCATGCACCCCTCAACCCCCGGGAGAGACTTACTTCTGAGCTCTGGCAGGCCCCGGCAGAGCAGAGAGAAATCACAAGGCAATTTTAATCTCCGTGCGGCCGGGTGCCGCGCGCCCAACCCTGCCCGCCTCCCACATGCACGACTCCAAGACCAGACCGGGGGCCCTGGATGGCTGAGGGGCTGTCGCCCTGACTCTGCGAAGAGGTTCAGCCTGAGCGGGCAGCGCCAGCCCCTGGGGGACGCATCCGTTGGCTTCCCCTCCCTCCAGCCGCGCCCACCCAGCAAATGCAGCTGTCTACAGCCTTGTGGTGCCACGGTATCCCAGTCTGTGCCAGGCACCTGGTCCCAGAGGTGACATTCAGTCCAGGGAACTATGCCCATGCTGTTTCCCAAGAATAACGGGGCTCCGAGAGGCAAAGCCAGTGCCCACCGGCACTTCAGCAGGGATGGCCGTTTGAAGATGGAGGGCTGGGGAGATATATCTAGAAGCCAAGGACCACCCGAGGCTGCTAGAAACTAAAAGAGGCCTGGAACAGATCTTCCCCTAGCACCTTCAGAGGGCAAACGGCCCTGCCAACTCTGATCTTGGACTTCCGGCCTCTGGAACAGTGAGATAATAAATGCTACTGTTTTAAACCACCAGTTGGTAGTAATCTGTTATGGCATCCCGAGCAAGCGCCCACTATGTTCCTCGATCTGTCCAGAGATCACGTCCGCCTTTTCACTGGCTGATCATACGGTGTCCCCGTCACGGAGACTCCCCAGCGCAAGACCCTGCCAAGGCTCCCTCATGCTCGCATATCAGACCTCCAGTCTCCCTGGCACCACGCTCATTCCTACATCCCCACCACTGCCCGGGCTGTGGACAATTCCCAGCAGCCTCAGCTTCCCTTTGGCTTCCTAACCAAATCTCACCCACCCTTCAGGCCCTAGTTCCAACTTGTTTGGTTTTATCAGCTTTACGGGGCCATTTTTTTCTTTTTCTTTTCCGATTGGGAAGGGAGTAGGTTTAGGGGGACCCAAAGATGGAGTGAGGGGCGCCTGGCTGGCTTGGTCGGTGGAGTGGACGACTCTTGATCTCAGGGTTGTGAGTTCAAGCCCCATGTGGGTTATGGAGATTCCTTAAAAATGAAATCGCTAAAAAGATAAAAAATGGGGGCGCCCAGGTGGCTCAGGTGGCTTATTTATAAATAAAGAAACAAACAAACAAACAAATAAATAAAGAAGAAGGAGACAGCCCTGCCCCAGAACAAAGGGAAGCAGGTAACTCACAGAGCAAGTGCCTTCTCCACAGACCTGGCTTTCCTAAATTCCTACCCTCCTGCTTCCCTCCAACAACCTTCCGGAAACTCCCTTGGGGCAAAGTCCAGGACAGGGCCAATGTCTGTGCCCCCCATGCCTGGCACACCGGCTGGCATAGGAAATGCGTATACAGTAACCAAATGAACATATCGAGGGTTGTAATGACAACATTGCTGGTTCTCCTGTTTACAAAACACTGTACGGCAGGTAGGCGGAGGTGAATCCCCAGTTGTGTTCTATCCACACCTCATCCCTGGAGGAAAGGCACATTAACGACCATTGGCTCCACTTATAAAGATACAAAAACGCAACTTGGAATAGCACAGTCACTTGCCAAGGTCCCACAGTTAGGTGGCAGAAACCAGACTGGGACAACAGTAGTCAGTTACTAACTGCGGGAGGGCCAACGAGGAGGGGTCTCTGTCCTCAAGGGGCTTGGGGTCTTGTGAGAAGGCACTGGACACAGTGAGGTTGAGTAAGTGTGGTACCAGCTCCTCTCCCTGCTTTTTAGACGATGGTGGAAGCAGAAGCAGAGGGCATCATGTGTTACCAGTATTTGTTCTGTGCCAAGGATCATGCCAGGCATTTCTGCATATCCTCCCATTTAGATCTCCCTGCAGTCTTGTGAAGTAGGGACTGTTATCATTTGAAACCCATCCAATTATAACAGTAAACACAATAAATGTAAATGTACTAAACTCTCTAGCTAAAAGACAAAGACGGTAAGGAGCCCGAAGAAACTCTGGGGGCAATGGATCTGTTTTTTTTTTTATCTTCACTGTGCTAATTGTTATGTGGATGTATACATACGGTAACACTGATTAAACTATGCAGTTTAAATAGGTGCAGTTGACTATAGTCGATTATAGCTTAATAAAGCTTTTTTTTTTTTTTTTTTTTTTTTTTTTTTTTTTTTTTTTAAAGAGACAAAGATTATTAAACAGGATTAAAAAGTTGAAATCCAGCTGGCTGAGCTTCCTCTCCTATGGCCTGGTCTCCTCATGGCCACACTCGTTTACCTTCTGACATCCCAGAAGCTGGGCTGCTTCAGCCACACCCTCAGCTCTGCTCCAACCCAACCTTCCTACTCTACCATTGACACCAGGGTTCTCCATGCTGCCTCTTGTTTCTCCACAGCTGAATCAGCTGCCTTGCTGCTGTACTAGTTCAGCCTCTAACACTATTCACTTTACTTTGTGACTCATTGGCCCCTGAGTCTGGCCTAGGAGCTCCCGGGGCAAGGAGCCACCTGATTTTCTTAGGGGAACCCAGTTGTGAATAGGTTTTCCCACAACACGAGAGATGGGAATCCATGGGCTCATTCTGAAAAGTGCCTAAATATGTTTTTACTATTTTAAATCAGGTACCACAGGACTCAGTTGTAGTTTATATTTGAGTGCCTCACTCCCAGGATTTGGAGCTGTTTAAAATTCTAGACTGGGTGCTGGTCTCATACATCCTCAGTGTGGCTACCGAACATTTGAAAGGTGGATGGTCTGAATAAAAATGGGCTGTAAATAAATGTAAAATACACAATAGAATTTGAAGATTTAGCACAAAAAAAAATTCTAAAATACCTGATTTTTTATACTAATCATGTTAAGATAATATTTTGCATCTATTGCATGAATATATTAAAATTTATTTCACTTGTTTTCATTACTATTTTAAAATTTAATTTATTATTATTATTATTATTATTATTATTATTATTATTATTATTAAAATAGGCTTCATGCCCAGAATGGAGCCCAACACAGGGCCCAAACTCACAGCCCCAAGATCAAGACCTTGATCAAGAGTCAGACACTGACTGAGCCACTCAGGTCCCCCTCTTTTACTTTTTTTTAATGTGGCTACTAGGAAATTTAAAACTATATAGTGGTTTACGTGATATTTCTAGTGGACAGTGCTTGGCATATGATAGCCTGGCCCAGCCCAAATCTGGCCAGCTACCTGTTTTGGGAAAATAAGGTTTTATTAGAGGATAGCCCACCCACTCCTCTTCACTGCGTTCCTGTGACAGTGGCAGAGTAGAGTAGTTGTGACAGACCGTCTGGTCCACAAAACCTGAAATATTTACCCTCCGGCACTTTATAGGAAAAGTTTGCCAACTCTGGCTGCACACTGGACTCACCCGAGGAACTTAAAACTTAAGCTCACGGTGCATCCCAGACTCTGCTGTGTTGGGTGCAGCCTGTGGGCCTTTTAAAGCCCCGTGGGGGATTCCAGTGAGCAGCCAAGGTGGAGAACTACTTGACTAAATAATTCTCAGGACAAAGGGACAACAGAGGGAATCAAGGAATTTCTAGTTACCCCACATGATCACATGGATCAGGACACAAATTTAATTCGGAGCTTCCTGGCAGCCAAAGCAAAAAAGGGAAATGGCTTCTCATCTAAAAGGTAAAACAATTTTGGCTATTCTGGAGAATACAATATGCTTCTTGCCATTTATTTGGGGTGGGTTGCGTGACTTATCAAAGGTGATCGCCCCGGACGAGTGCTGGGCCCATCACCTGCCTCCTTCTGACCATCCCACCCAGCACAGACACTGCAAGCCCCAACCAACTGACCACCCGGCATGGGAGGGGCCGTGATGAGGCCATGCTGAGCTGTCTGGCCTGGCCTGTAGCCTCCTCCCGAGGACCACAGTTGCCTCCGCACCAGGTGGACACAGAAACGTGAGCGGGAAAGGTGCTGGACTTACTGATGGATGGCTTGGAGGAACTTACGCTGGTGTTTCCGAACCCGGGCGTGGTCTGGCTTCTTCACCAGCCTAGTGTGTTTGTAGATGAGCCACGTCTCCCTGAGAACGTTAGCAGCGGCATTTTTTACCTGGGGCCAGAAAAAGAACAGTTCCTCAAGGCAGGCACGAAACTGTGGAAGGCTCTGGAAACTTCCGGAAACCTCCAGAAACTTTTAGAAACTCCTGGAAATGCCCCTCTGGGATCCTGGGACCGTAAGGCAAGGACATGTTTACGTGGCCACACCTGCACTGTGTGGGTCTGTGTGTGTGTGTATGTGTGTGTGCACTTCATTTGTATCATTCAGCGTGGGTCAGACCCTTTCTATACACCTTGCAGATGTTATATCAGTGAATCTACACACGCTGGCATCTCTCTCACTTTACACATGGGGAAACTGAGGCACAGGGCGGTCGACCTGCCAAGGTCAGACAGCTTTTAAGTTGTACCCGGCTGCCTGGCCCCCAAATGCCTGCCTCTTGCTGTGTGGCTCAGGGTGGGGCTATGACTAGGCACACAGGTGGGCACCTGGGGCCACTGCCACGTCTCTGTGCATGGTTCATGCACATTCACATGGGGAGCAGAGCACAAGGCAGGGCAGTGACCGGTGGGCATGTGCACATGCCTGGCACGTACAGAAGTAAGGTGGGGAGGGTCTGCCCTTGATGACCGAGAAGAGGACGTGGCTGTGATGGAGGTCTTTACCCGCTTGGTGAGCTGAGTGTCCATCATGAAGTTGTGCACGTGTTTCTCTGCCTTGGTGAGCTCCAGTTTCCGGGCCACCACGGCCACCACAAGTGCTGTGCAGCCGGCCCCCTGCATGCGGAGGGTGGGGAACACATCAGTGTCCTGCCCCATGTAGGTCCCGGGTCACAGGCAGGACACCCTCCCTCCTCCAGGAAGCCTGCCCTGATTCCACCCTCACCTTTACCTTCTAAGCCCACAGTGTTGGCCGGTCCCACCTGCTGAGCTCACTGACTCCCAGCCCCACCTGCTTAATATCGGTTGAATGTCTGGGGACTGTGTCCCACTGATGAGCTCATCTGATCCCCAACAGCCCTGGGAGGTAATACCACTCTTATCCCCACTAGACAGAGAGGGAAACTGAGGCTTGGAGATAAGAAAGGGAGAAGAAAAGGGCAGGATCTGCAGGTACGTTCGGAACATGGAGGAGGGAGGATCTGGAAGCATTTCCCTCAAGGCGCTGGGGTCTGGGCGTTGAGGGCAGAGACCCAGACAACACGTCTTTCTACAGTCATGGGAGGGGTCAGTTGGCAGGGTGAGAAGGCAGCATGAGTGAAGGGTCAGGCTGGCTGCCTGTGGTGAGGCATTTGCAGGTAGGAAGGAGCAAAGCAGAGGTGGGGAGTGGAGGGGAGAATGGTGGCCTCCCCGCCTGATGCAATCACACTTCCCAGGATGCCCTAAATGGCAGATCTCCTGGCTAGTGAAGGAGGTCAGAGAGGACTTGTATGTCTACTGGGAGCAGCCTAGGAGAGAGAGAAAGAGAGAGAAAAGAGCAGGAGTGAGGACCCAAGAGAGGAGAGGGCAGACAGGTGGAGGGGGGCAGCAAAAAGTGACGTGGGAGGGAGGGAGAGGGTCTGCCACCGAGGAGCAGGGGCCAGGGGCCAGCCTAGAGCCCCCAGGAGTGCCATCAGCCCCAGAAGTGCCCGAGGCCGGCGACAGGAGCAGGTGAGGGGGGCCAGCAGGTGTTCAAGGCAGGTGGCGGGAGCAGGTGTGAAGGGGGGAGGCAGTTCCCCGCCTGCACGGAGGGCTGTTCCTGATGCTTTCCTGCAAGCTGCTTGCTCCTGAGGCCACGACCTCCAAGAAGGAAGAAGGGAGAGTTCGGCCTGGGACACTTGGCCAGGGATGCTCAGTTCTTCTTAGGGATGGATGGAAACATCTATGGGGAGGGGTGGGCCAGGGCCAGGGCCACCATCGGACGGTCCTGGGCAGGTCTGGGTCCCCACATGCCCCGCCAGGGCGACATGGGCACAAGGTCGCCTTCTGAGAAAACCCTGACATGGGTTCCTGGAGTCTGTTCTCAGAAGAAGCCCTGTCAACTGGGGCAAAAAAACACACAAACAAACAAACGAAACAAAACGAAACAAAACCCTCCAGGTGGAATACGACGCAGAAAAGAAAAAAAAGACATCTGGTGGCTCCGCAAAATAGCATGGAAACCACGCCCAGCAAAAGACGCCAGGCTCAGAGGGGGCCACACTGGGATGCCCTGAAGTTCAAGAACAGACAGACGCATGGCTGGTGAGATCCTGGACAGGGCAGTGACCGGGAGCGGACACGCTTGGGCAAGGTTGGCAGAGAGAGCCAAGAGGAGAGCTAGAAACCAGCCCAAGCGTGACCACCCGTGCGTGTGCCAGCAGCGAGGGCGGAGACGTGGCCACACATGGAACTCATTTTCCAGAAGGAGCCATGTCCCAAAGAACGGAACTCGGCGTTTCCATTTTGTCTTGGGCTTTCCGGGTTTGAGCTCGCCTTACCTGAGTCCTTTTTTGGTTCTTTTGTAAAGTTCGTTTGCTTGTAGTGGGGGTTGGACTGTGGCCCACCTTTAGTTTTTCCCCCTTCGCCTCTTGCAAAGTAACACAGGCAAATAGGCGTGGTGCCATTTCACAAGGGGGGGCCGCGTCAGCGCAGCCAGGAGGAAGGAGGCCCCGGTGGGGGCCCGAGGAGGACGTGGAGCCCCCAGCTTCTGCTCAAACAGCTTAGAGAGGGTGAGGAGAAATGGGGACAGAGCCGTGGGCCTTGGGACATAGTGACAACTGACCACGGTCTGCAAGCAGCAAAACAGGGTGGGCAGAGGCACCGCAAGATGCTCCTTCCATCGGCGGGAGAAAAGGAAACTCTTGTGGGGATCGTGCCCTAGGTTTGCAAGAACGGAGGAGGAGTGGCCTGGCGTGGAACCTGGGGGGTGGGATTAAGTCAGCTTCTTTGGTGCTACTTTGGTCCCACCGATGCTCACTGTTCTTCACAAATGAACAGGTTATTAACTGGGGACTGGGGAGAGGAGTCCCCTATCACGCATCCGATAATCTGCAACCCAAAACACGGAAGAGCATTTGTGAAGGAGGTGGAAGCTTGGAGAAAGAAGGTTCCAGAAGGTTCCAGAAGGGGATGAACAGCAAAACCGAAGACGGGACCAGGGAAAGAAGGTGCTGGGTGTCAAAGGCTGCCCACACCCTCCGACAGACTTGAGAAGTCTTTGGGGGAGAACGGGTGCTATCAGGGCCCAACGAGTCACAGGAGACAAGCTGCACAGCATGGGGGTTCAGCGGGGTGCTTGGGATGTCCCAAGAATCAGGCAAGGATGGGGAAGGGAGCCGTGACGGCACAACCCGGAGGGTGTTGACTGGGTGTCCACAGCATTCACCGTTCTAGGCGTTTCACATAAAGGAACAGACTTGAGGGGCGCCTGGGCGGCTCAATCGGTTGAGTGTCTGACCACGGCTCAGGTCGTGATCTTGCGGTTTGTGCGTTTGAGCCCCACGTCGGGCTCTGTGCCGGCAGCTCCGAGCCCGGAGCCTGCTTCGGATTCTGTGTCTCCCTCTCTCTCTCCGCCCCTCCCCTGCTCGTGCTCTGTCTCTGTCTCTCTCAAAAATAAAGGGAAACTTTTAAAAAATTTAAAAAGACATAAATGAATCAAAAGGGACAGACTTGAGCTTCACGATGAACAGAGGAGATGGGCACCGGTTATAGCTGGGGAAACTGAGGCATGGAAGCATCAAGTCCCTAGCCCTGGACCCCAGGGCTGTGAAGTAAGCAGGCTTCAGAGAATAAAAGGGCAGAAAAACACTGGGCTAACAGCGGACCACAGCATCCAGCCCTGCGGGGACCACAGGAGTTACATACATACCTAGGGCTGGAAGAAGCCAAGAAGAGATGCCCCCCAGGAAGCCCAAGGGTGCAGATTTCTGAGTCACGGCCGGGGTAAGGAGGGGGGGGGGGTGAAGGAGCAGGATGACACAAAGAGGAAGGGGCAGGCTGATGCATTACGGTTCACAATGGAGTGAGCTCCCCATCCGTAGGGGGTGTGCAAGGGCCCCCGCCCTTACCATGATGCCAGTGAGCAGGCACACGCCCTTCCCGCAGTAGGTGTGGGGCACCATGTCGCCATAGCCGATGGAGAGGAAGGTGATGGAGATGAGCCACATGGCCCCCAAAAAGTTGCTGGTCACTTCCTGCTTGTCATGGTACCTGAGGGGAGCCGGGGAAGGCCCAGTCAGTCCGCACTGGTCTCTCTGCCTTCATCATTCCCTCTGGTGCCCTGGGTCCACCCGGCTGGGTGGGGACCCTGACTACAAGCAGCGGACCACTTTGAGGGCTCGGAAAGGTACCGCTGCAGGGAGAGGGGATGGTCAGCATCCTCCCGAGGGTACCGTCGGGCGGAGGGCACCCGCACTCTCCTCCCAGGATCCCTTCCCCCATTCTCCCTTCACCCCCACCCCAAGCTGCCGCCCAGGATGTGTGCCCTCCCTGGCCCCGGTCCGGGGGCAGAGGGGTCCGGGTGAGGGTACGTCCACTGTGTCCACGCGATCCCCCTCCCAAAGACAGACGCACAGACAGACGCAGACACAGGTGGCCACGGGCGCCAGAAGCGGCAAGGAGTGGAGGTGAGGATTCAGGTGAGACGTCGGGAAGAACTTCCCCAGCCAGCAGGGCTCCGTGAGGTTGAGGGGGCAGGGGGAGAGGGCCCCTGGGGGACACGGGTGGCTGCAGTGTTCCAGGACTTGGGAGCAAAAGGGAAGTCAGCATGTGTGGGGCAGCACCAATGGTCCCCAAATCCCAGGCTTAGGGTTCGTTTGGGAGTTGGGGAAGGAGGCGGCAGCTTGGCACTGGGGGGAGGCTGGCGGTTAACTTTTTGGTATGGGGGGGCGGGCCCCAAGGGACATGAATTCGTCCCTGGCCATGGCCAGCCCTGCGAACCCGGTCGCGTGGGCTACAAACACGTCCTACCTACGGTCAGCCCAGGCTGCGGGTCAGAGGGGTTTAGCTCGAGGTTCCCCAGCCTGTGAAGCCCCTCCAGCTCAGGGAGCCCTTTCCTGATGACCCACTCTTTCCCAGGCCTCAGGCCCTGAGGGGGCTCAAGGTTAGAGGTCAACTGAGGTGGCGCAGAGGAGGGGGGACGCTGGCAGGGGCAGGACAGGGGAAGCTGGGGGGAGGGCTGCTCCAGACAGACAGGGCTGGAGTCAGGGGCTCAAGAGGAGGCCATAGAAGCCCCCAAAGGAGGACGGGAAGGCTGGAGACCTTCTCGGCAGGTGTGGTGTTTGGGGGTCCCTGTCGGGATGCCATTCCAGGCCGCTCCTCCTGGGCTGCCAGTCTGCTTGCTGGGTGCGGGGGACCTGGGACCGAATCCCACTGAGGCATCTGAGCCCCAAGTTACCCTGGCTTCTGTCTCCCGGTAAACCAGCACCCCATACCAGCAAGTAAGACGAGAGGGAGGCCCTCCAGCAGCGGGTGGGGGAGCCCGGGGCCTGGCTGGAGCTGTGGTGGATGCTGCAGGACCCCCCGGGACTACCTAGGACCACAGAGTGGGGGACATGCGGGAGGCAGGGTGGGGGTGGGACAGAGCCGCAGGGGTGGAGCGAGGCAGGCGAGGGGGCTTCAAGCAGCATCATAGGGCTCAGAATTTAGGATTGGCTGCCCCCCTGGTCCTGCCCCGTTCCCTGCCCCAACCTGGGGACCCCTGCGATGACCTAGACTGCACCTCAAGGATGCCCGAGGAGGGGAGCCCCTCTCTCGCTCCCCAGACCACAGTCCTGACCCCGCCGTGACAGGGTAGGGGATGGGCTGTGGGAACTGGCATAGGGATCCAAGCAGGGGTCCAAGGAGACCCCGTCTGGTCCCAAGACGGTAAGCCTCGAGGACGAGAAGGGCTGGGCCCTCGCCCCCGTGAGCCCCACATCAGGCTGAGGCAGGCGCCATGGAGGAGATTAAGGGGTGAAGACTGGGGTCCTGGGGGGACAAGTCCAGCCCAGGGACCCCCAGGAAGCCCAGTCTCAGCCCCACCTGCCATACACCCTTCCAGGGCCTTCCCCAGCAAAGCATGAGGTAGGAGAGGCTCTTTCCCAGCCAAGGCACCCCCACGTCCCGACAGGCCCAGTGCAGACCCTCCCTTTCCCGAAGCACCCTGTGGGTCTCAGGGCCGACCAGGAATCAGGCCCTCAGGAATGTTCCTTTGCCCCAGAGCTTCCCTTCCCCCATCTGTAAGTTGGGTGAATGGCCTGCACCTTCCAGGGGTGTTGAGAGCAAACCCCGTGCAGAGAGAGGTACTAAAGGCTGGGCCAGTTTTTATTTACTCCAGACCCACCTAACTCTCCGGAGGGGCTGTCCAAGTCCCCCAGGGTCAGCTGTCCGGACAAAACCCTCCCCAACCTCGGAGACAAGGACCTCCAGGATGCCCAGTGGACACGGCCTGAGAGCAGTCCTGGGCCTGACTCCGAACTTGCCTGCCCCGGCCCCGCCTCATCTCCCTATGCA